GATAATATTTATAATTGTCTGAAATAAATGCAATTTTTAAGTTTTAATTATTATTTAAACATATTAAAAAGTTTTACGCTCATTATTAATAGAGATTGAAACTAAATATTTTTTTGTTTCGAAGTTGAAATCAAGGCATATTCACTGCCAAAAGTCAGTTAAAAATTTTCCATATTATTCGTTATTTCTTATTTTAATGCCAAATTTTCTCTTAAACCGTATACTTTTTTTTACTATAGGTACACAGTATTTATTTACCTCATGATATGCTGCAAAACCTAATTAATCACGAATTTTTAATTTTATGTACTCTTGTCTCCGGTTGTACCTCCCAAACATCCTTAATGTCTTTGGCTGTTTTTCTTTTTAATTGTTGGAGCCAAATTCATTTTATAGTCACCGGGGCTAACAATAGCCATTCCGACTGTGAGTTTTATCGTTAAATAGTAATAATTTGTTCACATTTTCCTTACGACAAACATATTATGTAATATATTTAGCAAATATGAAGATTGGAAAAACTTTGGCGGTTGTTGTAGAACAAACAAAATAGCTATTAATTTAGCAAAGTTCAAGCACGAAATTATAAGCAATAGGATATTGAACAATAATAATTAACAGACAGTAATATTATTACACATTAGGTTGGTGGACACTTTCGATTTCGAGAACATTCATTATCCAGGAAAGTGAGCCTGACCTCGTCCTAACTTTTATTGATACGATTTCCAAATCCATATTTTCTTCGATCGGTTCAAAGGACAGAATTAATTTATATTCCGTGGGTGTAGAAGGCATATAAGCAAACTGCTTCGTAAAGGGATACGTGACATGTAAACTGTTGAAATATTAGCTCAGTTATTTAATGTTATATATGTATTAACCACATACTTACTTGAGTGACCCACATCCCCGTTGATTATGTCTCTATCAGACACTTCAGGTTGTCGAAATTACCCGCGATTGGGGGAAGTCTCGGAAAAATATAAAAACGAAACGCTATAATAGTTTTTTATTCTTGTGAAGTTTGTCGAAAGTTTAACAAGTTGCCAATAAATAACCAAACGAAACCAAAATGTTCAGAAACGTAAGTAGCAACTTTGTCTGTACAATTTTTAACTCCAAATCTAAGTATAATATTGTTATTGTTATCTTCACATTGCAATTGTTTTTACATTGCAAAAATTGCAAAATTGTAATAATTTCGAGCAAGAAGGCGAGAAATAAACGCAAAAACTTTGTTGTCAGACACAAAACAAAACATAAATAGGATTTTCTTGTTTTACTTCCTTAGAGACGCTTTCGAGGCTTGCGCCGTACGTTAAGCAAGCCGTGCACAGTGGAATTCGTTTATTATAACTCCGCCTATATTGACCATCCGCCTAATACGAAGTAATTGCAGTGTTAAGTTTACTTTTCATTTTAAATTCTCTATAGGAATGTTTGGATATAATGAATTCGTTTAAAATGACATATCATTTATTATGACTGATTCTTAAGAAATCATATCTGGCTATAGTGACCCATAATGATTAATTAATTTTCGCTCATTTTTCTGACCCTTCTTATGTACAGTAGAATCCGCTTATAATGACATTGAAGGGAAATGGCAAACACGTCATACGAAGAGGGCATTTCTATGTTGATTAGTTATTTAGTTTAATATAAAAAGTACAGACTGTATTTATAATCGATTATTGTCGCTTATCGGGCAATCGGCCATTTTGTCTTCTATCCTTTATTATCATTAGTCATAATGCTTTTTAGACACATTCGCTTTTGACTTAAGTTCTTGTCTTTAGACTTCTTGGTTTCACAAAGTCTATACTTTACTTATCAATTTATCTCAAAATGTAATTCATAAAATAGGGTGTCCGACATGTTAATGAATTGACACATTGGGTTAGTGCACTGGCTACGTACTAGAACCTGGTAGTAATCACACTCGCCTTCGTTTCGAGAGGCAATCTCCTTACTCGTTCTTGTGGGAACGCGACAATAGACTCTTGCTCGTGTCCAACTTTTAGCGTATCACTGGTATCGGAATTTGTCATTTTATCAATCGGTTGGACAAACTACTGTTATTAATATATGAAGGTCCTTCTAGTTAGTAGTTTTACGTATTTACCATTTTGTTCATTACTAAATAATAAGCTGCCAAATTCAAACACTTTTTTACTGTAGTACCTAATAAGTTTCGGATAACCTTTGTGTTAATATAATTTGTAAAATTTTACGCAGGTAATCGTTGCAATCGCATTGATCTCCATGGTTTGCGCTTTACCTAACCCAGAGGCCAAGCCTGAAGCTAAACCAGAGGCCAAACCTGAAGCTAAACCATCAGGCATAATTTCGGCTTACGCAGCTGCTCCATTGGTTGCTGCTCCAGCGTTAGCTGCCCCCGCTGCTCCCCTAATTGCGGCTCCCTATGCGGCTCCATTCTTCGCAGCTGCTTATGCTGCCCCATCTATCCACCCATACCCATACCCTGCTGCTGCTTTAGTATTGTAACCAAGGAAAAAATAAATAAATTGTAATAATTTAAACACCAAAAGTGCAAAAATATACCGAAATTAATTTTTCATAGTACCTAATACTGAGTTTTTATTGTTCAGAAACGGCATTTGATTATAATGTAGGATATAAATGGGTGCCCACTTTGTGCTTGCTTCATCTTTAGACGTGTACTCGGCAATGACGATTGACATGGAAGATCGAGAAGGCATGTGCCTACTTTAACAACGAGAAAGACGTTACTTTCTGTTAAATTCGTAATCTGATAAATGGCGTATAAATAATAAATAACACGTCATATTTTGTTCTATGATTTGTTAGGTCATCTACTCAGCGAGGCCTTAACGAAAACACGTAAAATTATTGAGCGATTACAGTTAAATCATCGTCAAAGATTGTACCAATCATTATCATCATAAGGTCGTCAGTCCTAAGACTGGTTGGACACGCACATCCACTCTTTCCTATCCTGAGCTAATCTTCGCATTTCCCTTAAACTAGAACATCCCACATCTTTAACTGTTTGCGAACAGTCATCTAATCTACAGTCCATTTCAATTTGTTAGAATTGTGACCTTGAAGAAATCTGCGCGAAAATAGAAAGAATACACACTAGGCGTGAGCAAGACAGAAATAGTTGGAACAAGCTTGAACGAGCAGAGCTCTCTATGGGCGGTCTTAGGAGATCGACTAGAACTGTACAGTACTAGACGAAAATGTTTAGCAATTTCTTAAAACAAAAATGTATATAAATTAACAATAGAAAACAAAGCAAAAGTTTTATAGGTGTGTAGAACGTTAAGTTAATTCACTTGTTATTATTTTTGGCTAAATATGCTTTTAAATAAAACATATTCTTAAATTTTAACGAGGCAGTTTAAATAATTTTGCAAATGGTACTGTACACTTTTGTCTAGTTCTCGCTCGATGATCGGTGGAGAAATGAGCTCCGCAGACAGATATGATTGAATTTGGAATTATTCTACGGCGCATCCTAATAAAGGGAAGAGGCACATCTCTAACTTCTTGAAACGAATAGTAGGTCTAGCTCTACCTCTCCTAACTCCCGTTTCTGTCTCTAATATATCTCTGACTAGACCTTCATGCCTGAGAAGGTGTCCTACCAACCTATTTCGCCTATTTCTTCTATGGCGTCCGCTCTTCTTCTGTTCTTTCTAATACTTCTTCATTTCTAATCTCTATCATTGATATCCTCATCATTCATTGCACTTATATTGAAGTGACAGAAAAATGACAAATAAGTATTAGCTAATTCTAAGAACTGTAGGTAAGAATTGCTGCCAGTATGGTCAGGTAGGATGAAGATAAGTCATAATTAATTCATTGTTTATCCTGATGATGATTTTAAGAGGTAGTAAACGTTAGGTACCTACAAAGCACAACAAATTAAATAAAAATCTATTTTAGACGTTAAATTATGTAAAATTAAGAAATTTTTAATGTTAGATACTAGTCGCTTCCAAGTGTCTGACGAAGTAATCTTGTCTCTCTTTTTTATATCGCAGAAGAGTTTCATTACAGAGAGTTTATATTGTATCAATATTTTTCCTATTTCATTCTTATTTATCGAAGAAGTTAACACATAAACATTAATGAATTAAATTAACTTTCCATTTTCTGCAGATTACCGGTGCGTAAAACCAGGGGTGCGGGTTCGCTTCCCGGCGAGGGCATCACAACAGCAAAAAATTTTTCCTTATTATTTGGGGTAATCTATAGAGCGTAGTGGATGGAAAGTTAATTTCACTTAATGTTTACAATTTTTACATTCAAATGTTATTATTATGAAAAAAAGCATTTTGATTTTACCTTAACCGGCTCACAAGTAGATTGATTCAATCTGTCTGTGTATACGTATTGCACGTCAACACATATAAGAACATGTTTGTGTACATAGAAAGTCTAATCCTTTTGGTTAAAGTTGAAATGGACTGTTTTCATACACATCACGCACTAACTAATTTAATTTTATCCTTTTTACAAATCTTTCAAGTTTTAGCTCAATGGACTTTTCACTTTTTCTAATACGTCTCGTGCGCGGGATTTTTTTAGTTCGAAATCAAGTTACCGATTCTGTTGTTGTACATACGTACTAAGTTTTTATGATTGCGTAAAGCCAAAAAACTATAAGAGTTTCTGTAGTTTCGGTATCTGTCCGTCTGATTGTGCCACATAGTCTTCCTAACCTCTTGTTTTATTTATATACCCATTAAAATGAAAGAAGGACGATTTCTGTCCCTAAATAATGAAGTGAGTGAACATTTAAAAAATATATTTCTAGAAAATGATAGAACATTACTGCAACGGTCTTAATAAGATATAAAAATGTGGACTGGGTACAACTTGGAAGATCCACACGACTGACTTCCCAGTAAAAAGAACAAAAATACCACATATGCTTTAATTATCATAATTTTTAGTATTATTGTACTATTGTCTTGCATTTCTATAGTTTTCTTGTCATATTTTTTATGGAAACGTTTCTTTCGAGTAGGTACTTCTTTTGAAGATCGGGAACCTCCAGTTGCAATTAAATAGAATTCTATATTGTATGATGCCGACCACTAGCTGTAGTTCACATTTTTTCTTGTAAATATCCATTTTTCATTCCATTTTAAATGTAGTTTATATAGAGAAGAGCACATTACCATATTTTTTAATATAAAACCACTCTTGAAGGAGACTTTACGACTTTACTGAATGAGTCTCGACGGATTGGAATAGATAAAATCTTCCTGTGTTTCACACGGAAAATTTACAGCCTGTTTGAAAGTAATTTCAGGGTACGCATAAGTAGGTTTTGAGAAATTTGTATGTTTTTACCAGAATACGTAAAATAAATACTGGTCATCGATGCAGCTAACTGAAGACTATGGTACTATTTTAACTATTGCAAAGGAAATAACGGAATCATAACGAACCTCACTCATGTGTCTGTCCGTCGATTTATAATAGATGTTTTCTATAAATAATATTAGAAACGTAAATAAATCATTTTGCAATTAGATAGTAATTATTAATTATAAAATCCGGTCTGGGTTCATAATTTACCATAGAAATAGACCATGTTGATTCATACATTCTGTGTGTCTTCGAAATTATTTTCTGATTAAAATCAGGTTCCATTTTACCTTTTAGGCAAATATCGATTCCAATATTTTATTCCTGGTAAATTACTTAATTAACTGTCAAATAATAAGACCTGGGACATAGTCCACCAATTATTTTACATGGGCTAAGGCTGGGTCACACTGTTACGGAGTTTACGTTCTTTATAAGGTAAGACGTCTCAAGGTTTTAAGTTTCGTAAAAATGATAATGTAAAATCAAAAGTAAATGGGGTGCTTCTCGAATTTTTGAGAATATTCGAGGGGTGTCAACTATATACAGTAAAGAATTGTTTGGCGAGTACCTATAGCAGCGTGGCTAACGGATAAAAATTTTTGCAAAAAAAAAACAAGGTACAATTCGAAGCCGGCCCTGTGTGTGATTTACTAACAGTAGGTGTAGTGCAACGAATTGCTTTAAGAATTGCTACATCGATGGATTGTAGGTGTGAAAACATTAAAAGAACAGAGATAACTACTATACTAATCTAACAAATAATAAACAATAGATACCTGCAATTTAGCAGGGCCGGATTAGCTGTCAAGTACGTTTTGGTCAACAAGGGTGAATTTTCGGATATGCAAAAGAAAAATACTGATATGCAAGGGAAGAAAAAGTAAAAAAAGAGCGAATATAAAGGTAGAAGACGAATAATTAAAAGAAGTGCCTGATTTTCGGTGTCTAGGAAGTCGGATAAAGGAGCAGTAGAGATTTAAAACAGATAACTCAGGATCGAGTCATCTTCAACGGAAAGAAGTCACTTCTATGCTCGAGAACGGTGTTAATTTAGTAATTCTAAAAAGATTTTTAAAGTTGTTTGGAGCCTGGCGCTGTATGGGTGCGAAACATAGACAGTGGGCGCGGTGGAAAAGAAAAAGTTAGAAGCGTTCGAAATGTGTGTTGTTGCAGACGAATGATGAGAATACCGTGGAGAGAGAAGATTAGAAGTGAAGGAGAACAGAGGACTCTATGGAAGTCAATAAGAAATAGGCGAGATAAGTTAGTAGGACACCTTCTCAGGCATGAAAGGCTGGTCAGTGACATATTAGAAGATAGTAAAATCAGTAACAGCAGTTAAGAAGAGTACAGATAAACCTAGATTAAATTGCTGTTCACAAATAGTGAAGAATGTGGAATGTTTTAGTTTTAGGGAAATGCGAAGATTAGTACAGGATAGGAAAGAGCGAAGGTGCGACTGACAACCTTATGATGATGGATGAAGTAAGCACTTATGAAAACGACCTTCTGTTAACAAATAATATTAACCAGTAGCTTCCTTTAATTGAATATAGGTACCTCTGATGTAAATATAAACAAAATTCGTTAACCTTCTCATTTCAATTCAAGGAACGTAACAAAATGCTGCATTTCTACATACGTATGAATATATATTATAAACCTTTCTTCTTCCTCCTTCAGATTTTATTTTTAAATGAGCCAAATGCATTACCTATTTCAGTCACATAGAGAAAAAGCACTTTGCGTGACTTTGGAATTGTCGTACCATGACATAAGATATCTTTTCAAATAATACTTGCAATTTTCTGCTTCTTCAAACAGTAAACAATGTTCGAGACCGAAGGAATAAAATCAGCAGCAAATCTGGCATCAGAATTTAATCGTTTGACTGATTTGTGGATACTTTCGAGGTTCAATTATGGTTTTAAATAAATAATTGTATTGACCCTCTTTATGTTTTAATCGAAAGAATTAATAGGAAATTTCAAAATCATGTAACTCACTCGTTCCTAATTTAATTTCAAGTCAAGTAATACTAAATCAATCAAAGCAACGCGCTTCTTGATGCATAATGTTTAATTGATACCTAATTAATTGAATAGGAACAATGAGGCACTAAATAACAAACTCGAAGTTTGGAGGTCAAGGTCAATTTACGCAAGTTTTCGTCTAATGTTTCGAAAAAGATGGACAATTGGATCG